ACCCCCCCCCGCCGCCCACCCCTCCCCCCCGCAGCCCCCAATCGCCCCTCCCCTACGCGGGCCACGCGCGCGCACCACGGCGCGTTCACGTGCGTGATCGCGTACGGCGGGTGCGGCTGCGTCATCACAACCGCGTCCTCCGTGTTGTCGAGCGCCTCTTGCAGCGTCACGTGCCCGCCTCTCCGCAGCCGCTTCACCCGCCCCGCGCCGCGGCCAGCAGCGGCGGCCGGCCACCCCGAGGCGGCGGCGGCGGTCTCCTCCTCCTCGTCCGGGTCGGTCGACGAGCCCGAGGTCGAGCCAAACAGCTCCTCCGGCTTCCTGCGCGGGCGAGGAAGGAGGCGGGCTATAGTCGCGTGGCCCGTGGCCCGCCTGCCAAGCCGGCTCGGCACGAGCGGCGGCGCGGGCGCAGGCGGCGTGCCTGTCGATCGGCGGCACCACGCCATCCGGTATGTCCTCCCCGTGCAGCACGCCGCAGTAGTGCGTCAGCTTGCCGGCCATGTCGCGCAGCGGGAAGATCTCAATCGAGTTGTAAAAGGGCGTGCCGTAGCGGTCGTAGTTGACGACGCGAACCCTAGTGGTCTCGCCCTTCTCACTCGCGGCACGCATCCGCTCGACGAGCTTGGCCTCGGTGTGCGGGCCCTGCAGGAAGGAATTGCTCCGATTGGCCACCTCGGTGAACTTGAAGCCAGTCAGCTTGCTCCAGGCTGCCAGAGGGAGGCGCGTTCGGGTCAGAGGGGGAAGAGCCAGCGTCGGAGCCGGCGGCAGCGGGGAGAGGCGGCGGCGCGCAGCAGAAGCATCCTGGCGGCCTGACTTTCGCCCCTCTCTGCGCACAAGCGTGGCGGCGTTCCTCTCGCCCTGTGCGATGTGTGCGCCGAGCTCTGCGTGGCTGGTGCTCGCGCACCCTTGTTGGTGTGGACAATGTTGAAGGGCGCTGAGCCCGTGGTGATGACGCGGCACTCGTCGCTCAGCTGGAGCGCTTCGCTGAGCGTCCGTACGCCCATCTTGAGAGAGAAGCGAGATCAGAGAAACAAGGCGCGCAGCCGGCTGGCTTGATCAGAGCGGGCGGCGAGCTCTACAGAGATGAAAGAAAGTTTGCCCATGGCGTGTCCGTTGTATTTATTTATTTATTCTTTCCCATCCCTCCCTTGGGTTGTCTGTTTTCTTTCTTTCTTTTTCTTTCTTTCTTTACTGCACTCCAAGTGCCTCTCTCCTTCAAATCGTATATTTGTAGTCGTGGGAGTCCTACACTACCCTTTTGCGTTTAGGGCACTCCCCCCCCGGAGGAGCTCCGCACTCCGTTTTCTCTTCTTCATCTCTAAAAACAGTGGCCAGGGGCGGGGCTTACATTTTTGCCGTCGCCAGTCGCACTCCCAAACGCTACAACGGGGGCGGCGGCGGTGGCGGGGGCGGCGGCGGCGGCGCGACGGGGTTGGTAGGGGGGTGGGGAGGCTGCCGTGCTCGAGAGCACGAGCTGCCGTGTGCGCTGCGCGATCTTGGCCGCGATGAGGCCGTCCGCAATGCCGACGTTCTTGTAGCGCACGTGCAGCGCGACCCCCTCGGCCTCGCGCTCCGAGCCCGGCCGGATGGTACCCTCCTCGATGAGGTGTTGCTTCGCCATGGTCCGCAGGTTGCGGACCCACTCGTTGTGCTCCCGCTCGGAGCCCAGTTTGCCGGAATCACCAGCTTGTCCGTCGACGACATGTGTTGTCGTAATGTCCCGGGGATCGTTGCCCCGCCGCCACCAACTGTGAAGGTCTTCAGTGACCACTCACAAGCTGTATCCAAAGTACTGACAGAAATAGACTGCCAAAACTTACAAACAAGTGTCCTGTCCCGCGGCCCTGTGGGCCACCTTGACTATATTGATCTACGGCTGCAGGTGAAGGGCAAAACCGCGTCGCTGCAGAACGGTTTTTGCAAAACCGCGCCGCAGCGGTACGAAACTGCGCAGATGCAGTCCCCGAGTGGTATGTATGTATGTAGAAAGGTGAAGAACAGCCAGGCTCAGTGGTAAGGACACTATGTGTGTGTGTGTGGCCGTCGACTAGACGGCTGCGCGGTCGTCGGTCTTCAACATTATCGGCGCCACCGACCGTGATATGTCTCGTCCCGCAGCCCTCATGCACCAGGTCCATGCCCATGGGTGCAGTCATAATATGTAGGCCTTCTCTCCCACAGTTTTGTCTTTTGAGCAGTAGGCCTTCTCCTTGCGCCAGCCGAGCGTGACTAATTTCTCTTTTTCGGGCAGCATGCCGAGGCGGGTCGCGCGATTTCTTTTCCCAGTGTGCCTGTGATAGTGCTAGCACGCGCCAGTTCGCACCAGTGTCGAGCCTGTCTGCTAAAAGAAAGAAAGAAAGAAAGAAAGAAAACGGTCTGCTGTGAGACAGAGTTGACTTGTTTAAAGAAAGAAAGAAAACGGACAACCCAAGGGAGGGATGGGAGGACGGCACGCCGCCACCACACAGGGATTTTAAGGAGAGGGGTGTGGTGCGCTAGCCGTCGCCCACCCTTGCTTGGGCGTCCGCCTCTTCCTATCTCTCTTCGCAGTCTCTCGCCGATTCTCGCTGCAACCTTCATGCCACCTCGCGGTCGTCCCACTCTCGTCGTTCTTTCCCTTGTCGCTTCTTCTTCTGTCGCGTCGCTCTCCTCTGCCTCGTTCTGCGACGCCGCCGCCGCCTGCCGGTCCCTTGTTCTCGCTGCTTCTTGCGCCTTTTCGGCGCAGCTCCGTCCTCCTCGCTGCATATCCTGGCCCCTCGAGTCTATCGAGCTCTCCTCGAGCAAGGACGAGTCTTCTGACGCCCACTGCGATCATTTGCCTCCAAGTCATATCGTTGCTCAGGTCCACTCTCTCTTCGTACTTCGAACACTTGAGACTTGTGCCTTCACTGATGATGCCGGCGCTGGGGTCCCCTTCGGGTGCATCGTGACGGCTGACAACGGGATTTCCACTGGTTCGTCCTCCTCGGAGTCGTCTTCCCCGTCCTCCTTCCGCTCGGCTCTACGTTCAGTACGTTCGGCGTGGCTCACCCTCCATGCCGTGAACAGGCGCTTTATCCACCCTATATTCTTCTCTCGTTCCTCTGCCCGTGCCTTGGTCTTGTCGTTGTTTCGCACCCATGTTGACTTGCACCCGTCGTAAAATTCTTTTCCCAGGCCACTAGATCCGCTCGCAGCCTGGCGAGTAGAGGCCCCGCCCACCCAGGGTACCCCTCCGAGGGACCCATTGGGTAGTTCTCCCGAGGCCTCGCCGGGGCTCTGCCCCAAGAGACCTCGGGAGTGCCAGCCGTGCCTTACTCGCCACCTCCTTTGCGCGGCTGGCCTGATCAGTGAGCGGGCGAGCTCCTCACAGAGATGAAAGTAGAAGGAGCCCCCTCCAACCCACCCGCGCTAGGTCTCGGGCGGCGAAGGGGTCACTCCCGACGACCTCGGGAACTAGCCGGGGCAGTCGGAGAAGTGGCAACTCCGTGCACTGACGGTCGGCCGTCAGAAAACACGCCTCCGTGGCTCGGGTTACACCAATCCTCGCTACCCAACGCGGCCAAAGGATATCCACCTCGAGAACCTCGAGAGAAAGTAGAAGGAAAACGCGCGCGTCGGCCTTCCGGCCCGCTGTGCGCGGGTCGGTCACCACTCCTTTGCGCGGGGAGGTCTCAGGGCTAGGCAAGGGAAAGAAGTCGGCCGACCGCGCGATTTCTTTTCCCAGGCCACTAGATCCGCTCGCAGCGTTTACAGAGGCGCGGACCGCGGTCTCTCTCTCCTCCCGCGCCTGCGGACCTCCCACCCCCCGCCGCGCGCCGCCTCGCGGCACCCACATGACCCAGCCACACAGCCGCAGCGGCCCAGCGGCAGCGCCGAGTGTGCCGGTCACCCGCGCAATCAGCGGGACCGACTCGCGCGCCCTTCCACGCCAGCCCTGCCTGGTCGCGAGCGCTCTGCAAAGCGCCAGTCCCTGATCCACACACACACACTGCACAACGGAGCCTGTCGTCGCGCGCGCGTCGCACCGGCTGCTGCGCGCGCAGCACACACACAGCGCGTGGGCCTGGGCGCCGCCACTGGATATGTGAGCGAGAACCCTCTCCGAAAACAGGGTTCTCGTTCCCTCGCATGGATCTTGATGCGCTGAGTGGCTTCAAAGGTGCGCGAGCTCTGCTCCCCGGCCTCTCCACGCCCGCCCGGACCCTTCCGCGCCGGCCGAGGGCCGCAGGAAACTCATGCCGTCTCTGCCGCCCGCGCGTGCAGACCCGATTGCAGCTCTCGACGAGGAGGACGCGGACAAGGCCGCCGCGGCGGAGGAGCAGGATGCCAGGGCCAAGGCAGAGATCGTGCACATCCGCGTCCAGCAGCGCAACGGCGAGCCGCGCGTCCGCGCCCGTCCACGCCCCCGGCTCGGGTGCCGTGCGGCCTAAGCCGCTCGGCCACCTGCGCGTGCAGGACGCAAGTGCATCACGACTGTGCAGGGGCTCAACCAGGACCTGGATCTCAAGCGGATCCTCAAGGTCATCAAGAAGCAGCACTGCTGCAACGGGACCGTTGTTGACGCCGACGCCGAGGGCAAGAACATGGGCGAGGTCCTCCAGCTGCAGGGCGACCAGCGCGCCAACGTCAATAAGTTCCTGGTCGACAACGAGCTGCACCCGGCGGACAAGATCAAGATTCACGGGCACGGCTGAGGGGGGGTGGCGCGTCGCCGCCGGCGGGGAGCCCGCGGCCCTCTTCCCCCTCGGCGGTGCGGCTCTGACAGCTCGGGGAGTGCGGCGTGGACGGCGCCGCCGCGGCCTCTCGCGCCGGCCTTGCCCCTGGGCCGGAAGGAGAAGGGGACCTGGCGCTCACGCGTTGCGCACCCCGCTTCGAGCGAGGCGGGGAGCGCAGCAGCGATGTGCGTGCCGGTGTTACTCCAGGCGTTTGTGGCCCGTTTGTGTGGATCTGCATCTGGATGGATTTTGAGAGAGGTCGAGAAGGAGAGAAAGGGAACGAGATCGCGTGTACTCTCCCGACTCCCGTCTACATTACATACTCGTGGCACGTGGGGGGTACAAAATGACGCTCCTATCACGCGGCGTGAGTCGCACGTGTCATCTCATACTTAGCGCCCCATGGGGGCCATGCCGACCGCCAACGTCGGCGCAGACAGCTGCTCCCTAAGTAAGGCCAAGAGCTCAACCGCCTGCGTCAAGAATGTCTCGTACGGCTGCTTTGGCCCGACAGAGGACCACGCCATGTGGGTCGACAGGGGCTGCCGTGGCGACTTCCTCCTCCATGCCCCGGCATCGACGCACGGACGCGCAGATTATCGGCTGACGACGGTTCGCTGCGGCAGATTCGGCGGTCCGGCGATGCAGCGGTGCGGTCGCCCCAACATCAGCCCTGGCTGCACCGAGCATCCGGTGCAGGCAATGTGCGACTCTGCTCCACCTGCTTGCAATGACACGCGATGCACGGACAACATGAGCGCTATGGTGGCCCGCCTCGCCCACGAGCAACGCAGCTCCGTACACGACTGCACCGCAGCGTCGTCTGCAGCACCGTGCGCACACGATGCTGTCGTGTCGGGTGGCGAGTATGCCATCGCGTTTGACTACCGTGACCTCAACGGCACGCCGCGTCACTACGGCCACGTCTGGCCCGTGCTCCTCGCCGTATGGGCGAGTCTTCTCCGCGCGCGGCTGCAGCACGGCAGGGACGGTGGCCCTGCGGGTCCCTTGCCGCTGCTACGACTCGTGTTTCCTGCCGGCCCTCACCTCGGGCGCGACGGGCAGCGCTTCTTCGAGGAGCTTGAGGTCCTCTTCTCGGGCTGCGCCGGCGCCGCTCTCGCCATCGAGCGAGCGCCATGGGTTCCTTACTGCGGCCCGCGAGAGAGGATCCTCGCCCATCGAAGGCCCTCTGGAAATTTTGACTTGGCATTGTGCCACGCCGCCGGCCCGCCGCCGGCCCGCCGTTTGTCGCACCAGTTGCTCGCCTTTTCACCCAAGCTCGTGGGGCTCAAAGGCGGGTCCTCGGATTGGGCCGCGTTCAGGGACGACGCGCGTAGATGCACGCGCGCCGAGTCCACAAAGCTGGTCACCTGGGTGCTGGCCTCGACGGGCAGCAACCAGAGGAGGATTGGCGACGAGCACGCTCTGATCCGTCGGGCGCAGCGTGTGGTGCGCGAACGGCCAGGCTGTGGCCGGCCGGGCTACTGCTTCAAGGTGTACCGACCGCCAGACGGCGGCGAGGGGCGGCCGGCCGCGCCCTCTCGCGGGATCCTCTCGACGCTGCTGCGCGGCGCCGCGGGTTGGGCCGACGGCACCCCGCACGAAGGCGAGCAGCATCTCGCGGCGGCGCGGATTTCGAGGGCGCGAGCTGCAGCCGGTCGGGTGGCCGGGCCGGGCGAGCTGTCGCCAGACGACCCGGACGACGACCTCTTTGGACAGATCGACGCGCTGGTGGCGGCGCGTCCCGCGTGCAAGACGTTTGTCGGCCAGATCGCTGCCACCCCTTGGGCCCGCAAGTTCCTCGTCACCCTGTCGGACCACGAAACGGCGATGCGCGAGGGCGAGTCGACGCCGCCGCACAAGGCAGCCATACCCGACGCCCTGCGGCGCGCGCGCGAGGGCTCCGCAGGCATCGCAGCCGAGGTTACGGCCGATACGAGTCGGACGGCGCTGCTCGCCGGGCCGGGCGCCACGGCCACGCTTGGCCTCCGGGAGCTTCGCCAGGCGGCGGCGGCGGCCGAGGCTCGCGAGGCCGAGGCTCGCGTGTGCCGCCGGCGCACGTCGAGGCCCCGGCTGGGGCTGCGGATGCGCGCCAGGGGCGACGGCGGCGGCGGGGCGAGGCCCAACGCGGCAAGCCCTCCACCGCTCGGCCAAGCGGTGCGAGCCGCACTGCATCGGCGCTTGCTCGCGACCGGACATTCAGCCGCCGTCCCGTCGGCACCGACCGCGCCGTCGCGGGTGGGAAGGCCGTGGAAACTGCGCTGGCGGTGAGCAATGGGCGCGAGCCGCGTCTCGTACGGGTCAGCCAATATATAGCGCAAAAACTTACGCGCGCACACAAAACTCAAAAGCAAAAAAAGGCCGCACTAATTATGTGTACGTATCGTAAAAGGACTGAGGAATCCATCCAAAAGACTACCTGCGGGGTCGGAGGTGCGCCACGGCGTCGCGGCTGGCGGCGGAGCCGGAGGTGACGGTGGATGGTGGCGGAGAGGGGGGTGTGGGAGCGGGAGATAGCGGATAGGGGTCAGGCCGGGGCTGTATCTTCCGGAGCATTGTTGACGAGCACTAGCGAGACGGAGCAGCCGACGTTTTGGCGAGCGGTAGAGACAGCCTCCCCCGACGCCGTGCGTGGAGAAAACACTTCGGCTACCTCCTCACGGACCTTGCACGCGCCCGGGCAGCGGGCAAGGGATGCGGAGCCCGAGCCGCTCGGCGGTCTGCCGCGCCTCCTCCAGCGAGATCTCCTCCACCGGCTTCCCGTCACGCAGCCGCGCCGCCCGCCGCCCGCCCGCCTTCCACTCCGCGCCCTCGCCAACAGGGGCACCCTGCGAGTAGAAGCACGACTCCACGTCGCCGTTGGCCCACCGGACGACGCCGTGCCCCTCTTTCTCACCCGCCTTCCACTCGCCCTCGTAGACGTCGCCGTCGGCGTACCGCGCGACGCCGCGCCCCTCCATCTTACCCGCCTTCCACTCGCCCTCATAGACGGTGCCGGCGACCCACCGCATGACGCCGCGCCCTTCCCTCTCGCCCGACGCGTTGTACTCGCCCTCGTACTCCCCCTCTGGCTCCTCGCCCGAGTAAGCCAGAGCGGTTGTCACCTTGCGAGCGTACTCACGGTACAGCTGGACGACCACCGGCTTGTCGCCCTTGCCCGTGAAGGAGGCCTCCTGGATCGCGGCGATCACGCGCCTGTTACGCGGCCCCATCCCCTCCTCGGCGCGGTCCTCCGCCTCGGCCACGCGGGGACCCTCGCCGTCGATCTCGATGACCTTGGGCGGAAGCCGCTCTTCCAGCAGCTTGCCTAGCCCAGAGAAGAAGGCGAGCCAAGCGATCGCCTCGGTGCTCACGGCGCTCTCAAACGTCGTCCACCTGCCAGCGGAGAGGGGTGTGTCTGTCGCTACAGCGCAGCTGTCGGCGGCCAGCCACAGCGCACCCGCGAGCGGGGTACGGGCGGCCGTTGTAGAAGAGGAAGACGGCGATCGCGCCCGCTGCCGTGGCTGCCTCGACCGCCTCCGCCGCCGCCGCGTGCGTTGGGAAGCGCACGCGCCACCGGCCCTCCTCGAACCGTGGGTTCTCAAACGCCCCGAGAGCACTGCGCAGCTCTGCCTCGGCGCCGGCGCCGTCGAGCCCGCCGCCCTTCTCGACGAGGATGACCACTTCGCCGTCCAGCTCCGCCGGCTGGGCTGGCACGGAGCGGTGGCGGATGACGGTCGTGCCGAGGGGAGAGGCATAGACGTCGCCCATGACCTGCAGGGGGTGAGAAGAGGGGAGGCGTTAGAAGAAGCAAGGGCATGTGTGCGGGCGAGAGAGTGGGGAGTAGTAGATGAAAAGCGGCGGGCGCAGAGGGCGGCAGAGGAAGGCGGGGCGGACCTTGAGCGCTTGGGAGAAGAGCTCGTCCTCGGACGCCGTCCTCGGCTTTTGCGGGAGGGAGGAGAAGCTGCGGAGGGGAGGTGAAAGGCGAGGCGGGCGTGGGTGGTGAGAGCGGAGAGGAGTGTGCCCACGGCCGCAGGGGGTCTCTGCCCTCCCGAGCGTGCAGCTACTGGTTGCGGTGGGTCAAAAGTGGCAGCGCACTCCCAAAAGAGGGCCGTCACGTGCTCGCCGAGCGGGTGGCGCAGGAAGCGCCGCGCGTTGGACAGATACTCTCCAGTCACGTCGGGGTGGTCCGGCGAGGTCCAGCCGTAAGTCAGCCCGGCGACTTCGCGGCTCAGCGAGCGCAGCGCCACTACAGCCTCCTTTGGCGTGAGGAAGACACTGATGCCTCGTTCCTTCTCCATTCGCTCCAGCTCTTGCCGGCGCAGGAGCTTGGGTAGCATCGCCTCGGAGCCGTCGGCGCGCAGGAAGTCGGCGCGGAGCAGCTTGATGGCGCCCGAGGTGAGGACGGCGACGAGCTGCTCGTCGAGGGCCGCCAGCAGCGGGATGCCCTTGTGGTCGGCGGCGGTCAGTGCAGCTGGCTTGCTGGCAGCACAGCCCTTCTCCTCGGCACCGGCATCGTCTGACACTATCCCGGCGTCAAAAACGAGCTTGCTGACCGGCTCTAACTCCGGCATCGGCTACTTCTGCGCCGCGAGCTGCTCTCCCCGCTCGTCCTCCAGCTCGTCCGGTTTGCTCTCGCCGCAGCCCATGTGTGAATCTCTCGAACGCGTCGTGCTCTTCGAATTCTTTTTTGCAAGGAGTCGCTTAGGCCGGCACCCGTGGTGTACCTGTGTTAGTGCCAGTGCACGCCAGTCCCGTGCCCAGTGTCGTGCGAGGGAGTCTTTTGTAAAATTCTTTTCGCAACATAATTTCACAACAAGACCTCCAAGTGCTCCAAGACCAACAAATGTCGTCCGTTCGGGAGAGAGGAGAGAGATTTTAGAAAACCAACAAGAAATCACGACTCTCACAGTGATTTGGGCTCGGCAGCTTGTCAGCCCTCAGCCGTTCGTCCGAGAGTCGAGAAACGAGAGAGAGATTTTCTTTTGAAAACCAACAAGAAATCACCACTCTCACATTCTTTCTTGTCGTCCGCCGGCGGGACCGCCTCGGACTTCAGAGAGAGGTTCTTCCTCTCGGGACCTCTTTAAAATGAAAAACTGCGGACACAAAAAATGGGCCACCCCCGATGGCAGCACTTCGTGTTGGAGAGTCGAGACATTGAGAGTGTAAGTAGGAGGGACGCTGGGGATTCTCAAAGGTTCCGTATACCCTTGGAATGGCCAGATCCAGCCTTAAAAGTACGAGATCGCGCGCGCTTCGCGCACAGCACCGCCTGTTCTCCGCGGCTGTGTGACGACGCGAGGCGTGCCGTGTACCAGCAGAGTTGGGCGCGCGCGTCGCGACGGCGCCCGCGAGGGAAGGCGCGGGTGCAGCGGCCGCCGGCGGCCGTACCGCCCGCCAGCCGGCGCAGCAGCGGCCAGCGCAGCGGCCGCCGGCGCAGCAGCCAGAGCAGCCGGTGCGCGCCTTGCGAGGCAAGTACTGCCGCCCGGCAGCCTTGAGGCGGCCGGGCGGCAGTACTCGTTCGAACTTTGCGAGCCGTGCGCGCGCCGAGGCGCCCGCGGCGCGCGCCCGCCCGGCTGCCAGTAGGAGGCGGCGCAATATGGCCTATAGTACAGGAGCGGCCGCACACTGCTCGGTACCCCCCCTGCACATCTAAAGTCATGGCCGACCCCCCCCCCAGCAGGAGCGCTCTGCCTGTGGGGGGTGCTGGCATCTCTGACAGA